ATGGACATAATATTATTATAAACTTCATATCTATATACAGTTAACAGTTATTGTTATTAGTTTTAAGTATTCAATTATTAATTAATATCATCATCATCATCATAGCACAAAACAAGTTCCCCAAGGAATGTCATTAATTGATAATCCTAATTTAATCATTGTAATATTCTATTATATCACATTATCAAAGTTATTTATTGATAAAGTTATTTATTCGTAGATACAGTGTTCAAAAATAAATTTAATTATTTTATTTTAATAGTATATAATTCAATAAATATTTAACGATGAAAAATAACTTTGTAAATAATGATTCATTGAATGATTTTCAAAATAAATAATAAAATGAATTATTTTATCCCTAACATAATATTTATGAATGAATTATGGATAACGAAAAAAGTTTGTGTATTTCTTTTATATCCCTTTTTGTTTCATACTTGTACACTACAAGAAATTTATGACCAGTCCAAATGCGGCCATCGCAACAAGTCATTTCTGGTCTAATTTGCACGAGGGAAAAGAGAACCTAATAAAAAGATATAATTATTATTATTTTTATTGACGGCTTTTTGGACAGTAACTAAGCTTTGGCTTGCGGCAATGCAGACTCGTGCTCGAATCCCGCACGGAAAAGAAATGTTTGAATTACCTACATAATATACGAATAAATTTGTTCTAGGCCTGAATTTTCATCCATTCGCAATTTATGTATGTAAAACTTTTCCATGATACAGGAGAAAATCCTAATGTTTACTTTAAAACGAAGAAAGGTTATTGTTTATGAATGTTACGTCTTGACACTTTTTTGTTTAATAATGTAATAACGCATATTTTATTTAAAAATATTAATGTTTTAAAATAATTATTGTACTAAATATCGGCAACACTGAAATTGTTAATTGCAATCTTAAGTACCTACTGATTAACACGTGCTCAGCGGTAAACGAATAGATCGTGAGGAAACGTGCTTGTGTATAAGAAATAAAATATCATGGGGACATGTGAAGTCCATCAATAGGCAATGGATCAGCGTGGGAGACTTTCTGGTTCTAAATCCGCTCAGAAATGAATGAAACAGCCCTTTAGTTTAACTGTGATTTTACTTCTTTACTATTTATAAAGATTTGCTGATACTTACTCCATTTGGTATATTTTTAAAGAAAGGAGCTCTATAAAATATTCCGGCGTTTAATGTATTCACAACTAAGCCAATTTATTTTAGTTCGTAGAATTGTTTGCTGAATTTCCGCTCTTTAAAGGTTGTATAAATCCTATTTTATAAAGTGAGAACTGCTATCAGATAACATAAGACGCCCGTTTATTTATTTCTTAAATTTTAGGAACTTTATATTTACAGCAATTGTTTTATAATGTATTGGTAATCGATTAACATTAAATTTTAAGTGTAAGTCTAGTTCAATGTTTTATTACTCAAATATTACCCAACGTTCTTCAATTCATTTAAGTGATTGTTGTTTTGGATTTAAATGTTCATTGTAACTGTCGTCGTATTTGCGACCATGATGATACGATCAAATGCTGTTTGATTACATCGTGTCAATTAGGCTAATTCTGTCGTTTATGAAAATGAACGCATTCTAGCAGTACTTTATTTTTTTTTCCGCAGAATCTTCACTATTTAAACGTTTTGTTTAAATGAGGACTTGTAAATTTATTGGCAAAGTCACAAACAATTTTGATCTTGATTAGAGGGATAAACAGTTTAAAACAGTAAATGTTAATTGCTATCGTAATATTTTTAATATAATTTACATATTTGAAAAGCGGTTTATATGGAAAAAATAAGCCTCTTGTTTTGTTAAGTCACTTTCTTGTTTGTTTGTATGTCGTTCCGGGTGGAATTTAGTAATTGGTTTTAAACTAACTTCCCAAAGAGCTGGAAACTTTAAACTTTGAATATAGCTCAAATACGGATGACAATGCAAGAAATATTATTAAAAATACTTGGTATAAATTTAAAAAAAAATTTAAAAATTCTTTTGTTTAACACGTTTTTACTAAGTCACTTTCTTGTTTGTCTGTCGTTCCGGGTGGAATTTAGTGATTGATTTTAAAATAACTTCCCGATGAGGTGCAAACTTGATATTTTAAATATAGCTCATATTCGGATGATAATGCGAGAATATAATTAAAAAAACGTGGTAAATAAAAAATATTTTGAAATAATTCACTTGTTTAATTTTTATGTGAAACACTCGCTGAAAAAACATCTAAACAGAGCGACAGGCGCCGATGCGATTCGTATTGTCGAGTTCGGTAAGGAAAAGTAATCTATTTTCTAAATATTCTCTATTCTATTCTATTTTCTAAGTAATCTATTATCTAAAGTAAGTATTATGCCATCAAAAACATATCTTGTAAAAAAACCAAGTCTCGCAACTCAGTTCTTCTACCGTAAAAAAGTTGTGAGATCCATGTAATACCAAGTCGGTTAATTTATTCAGTCCCTACTTAAGGGTACTTCTCTCTTAAGTTATTATGTAATTAGCTAACCTAACAACATCTTATGGTAACTACACCAATACTAAAAATCTTTTATATTTTAAATAAATAGATTGCCTTGGCCATCGCATGAAAACACAATGTATCTCTCAAGTAATACATATTATATTAAATTGCGAGACTTGGTTTTTTTACAAGTTATGTTTTTGATGGCAACTTATTTCTTTTTGTAGAAAGTTGTATTTAGGTGCCTATCTACACCTATTATTCCATTATATTATACATATTATATAGGAGCACTGATTTATTCACTGCAAATGTAACTTTGTAATCCTCTATATTTGTATGGGATTACAAAGTTATTTATGCAGTTGGTGTATCTCGAAAACTGGACCGAAATTGCAAATTTTTTTCTTGATTTATATACTAAACAATTATTGTGTTCCAAGTTTGAAGCTCCTATGTCTGCTAGAAGGGTCTTAGAGTTTTGATGATCGATCAGTCAGTGAGTGACAAAATTAAGAAATTTTGACTAGTTATAATTCTTAAACGACTGGTTTAAATTTAATGAAATTTGAAATATACTGAGTTTATACACTACATACAATGCCTACTTGGTAACTGAAAATTCAGGCATCTAGTTTTATTAACAACGAAGTTATAGGGTTTCGAAAATGGTCTGAACTGCTTCGAGAAAAGGATGGTACGGCCGTGCCGCTTTTTTGCTCGACTTGGCGGGAGCACTGCCGTGCCCCCAGATATTCAGCTAGAAATTTTATACATTAGATAATAATCAATTAATCACCTACATATATTATGTAAAATGATCACATGTCGTTGTATTCAGTCCCTTAAGTAACACTTTTGTGTATTATTGTTAAGTTAAACATATTTAAAAAAATGTCAGCTTATGCCCTAATTCGCAAAATAACTATACAGTCTTTAAAAGCGTAATTCGCTAAATGACTAATTCGACAAAGGACTATATACTGCTAAAAATGCCTCATTCGATAAAGGACCAATTTAACCAAATAATAACTTCTAAACCTAAGTTTAGCCAGCTAGTCTTAAGTTTATTTATAAATATTAGCCAAATATGTATGTTACATATTTCGCCTTCTACGACCTATATAACAAAATGCACAGCTGTTTGTATATGTATTTTCGTGCTAAAACAGATTGAAAAAGGTTAGCTATTACGCGAAATGATCCTTTTATGAATCTTCTCTTTCTAAGAGAAGAGAAAGTCTTAGAAAGTCTATCGTATTCGATATTTCAAGTCCTTAGTAGAATTACTTAGTTGTGGAATTTTGTACATGGTAGAGCCATGCTGCAGCTATGTCAGTAGTATAGTTGTAGCACGAATGGTTCGGCTCGACCGGGGAAGGACCACGCACTCACAGAATACCAGCGTATAATATCAGCTTAACACCGCTGTGTTTCGTACAGTTAGTGTAGAGAACCAGAAACCCTTTTTACTGGAAAAGAGGTATTCCATCTTAGTCCTCACGGGTGACAACGCATCTGCATTTTGATTCGCCAACGAAGAGAAATGTAGATGTCTATGGGCCACAGCAACGACTTACCATCAGGTGGACTGTGTGCTCGTTTATCACCCTATCCTATAAAAAAAAATTGTAATTTAGAGAATTGTCTTTTCGGGAATTAAGCATTAGCCGACTAAACGAAAGTTTTATAGCAAGACAGTTGCGATTTTTGTTGCTAGGCAGAAATTAGCTAATGTCGGTGACGTCAATATGCGGGAATCAGTCATATCGTTATGTACGTATCTCAAGAAGTGAAATTCTACTAAAAGTAACAAATTTAAATTATGTAATACTCTTCGTGTATTTATACTGCATCGTGGCCCATCTTCGATCTAGTTAGCGTAGAACTAAATGAGTAAGTAGTGTAGAGATGAAATTATTTATTCGTCTATTTATACAATATTATATGAACTCTAGTATCCAGCAGCGGACTGAGGAAGGAGAAGAAAATGAAGAAGAATGTATCCGTTACCGTTACATCTCATCAAAAGTCCGCTGCTGAGCACAGGCCTCTTCCATAGAATGCCACATAGGGCGGATATTAGCCACAGTTACCACGCTTAGCGAGAGGATTGGCAATCGCAGTTTTTAGGGTTCCCTACCCACTACCTGTTACTAAGCCTCCGCTGTCCGTCTGTCCGTCTGTCTGTCAGCGGGCTGTATCTCATGATCCGTAATAGGTACACAGTTGAAATTTCACAGAATGTGTATTTCTGTTGCCGCTATAACATATGTGTTACGTATATATGTACGGAACCCTTCATGCGCGAGTTCGACTCGCACTTGACCGGCGATTATATTATTTTTATGTTATTAGGAAGATGCTGTTGCCCATCTCCTGATTTCTTTCCTTTTGTCGCCCGTTACGAAACCCAAGGGACAATATGAGTTAGTGTTAGTGGATATTCTTACACCACCACTACACGATCTCGAAGGAAGAATGTATCACTTAGGTAAAATTTACGATTCTTTCTGTATTGTACTTACCATCAGGCGTTTCGAACAATGCAAATGATCCTTAGCGCCACAAATGTGATCTGAAACAAAAATAAATACATATTTTTGGAATCTTATGTATGTTATATATTATTTATTATGTTAAATATTATGTAAAACTAAAATTTGTTTTGTTCCTTATTAAAATAACACAAATTTTTGTTAGTCACTAGTCTACTTGGTGCTGACACGATTTAGTAAAATATAGCGTCGATACCTGGGAAGTTCTCCAAGATTCCTATAAAAATTAGTTCTATTAAACTTCCAGTAAAAAAGCTTAGGTAAGTATATAATAAAATGACAGTTAAATGCTTAGTTTTCAGTTACGTATTTTTTTTAAAACGAAGTGACAAACGAAATTAGGACTTAGAACTGGAGGTAGACTGGTATAGAATGCCCTGTTGCACTAAGTCCGCCTTTTTGGACTTGGTGTGCAAACAAAGCATAAATAAATAAATAAACTTACACTCCACCTGATGGTGAGGGGCTATTTTAATCTATGGACATCTGCGATCCTGGATCGACTTAGAACGAAAAAGGCTACAGATGCGTTGTCACTCCTTCATTCCATCTTGTGCCCTACAGGCACATTTGTGTGCTGGATTGGTGGAGAATAAAACCGCTGTGATATTTTTCTTTCTTCTATATTTGGTGTTTTCCTTGAGGTAGCTGGCCGCCGACTGTGTCGAACGACGAAAATCGCCCCTCTTTTATACCGCCTCGGGCTGGGTCAATGGATACGGCCGACGCATCGTACAAATGGCGTCGACCAATCAGCGCGAGGCGTGACAGAGCAAGTGACGATGCTGAGTCCCGTTACATTGTTTGTCTTAAGCTAGTTCTATATCTTACTGAGTCATTGTTTATATTGTTTACCTTAAGCTAGTTCTGTTATACAAAGTGACCAACTAATTTTATTACACAAATATAAGCTCTACACTATTATTTTCTTAACATAAAATGCTTATATCCTATCTAAACTATAATCTCTATTAATATAAATGTTTATCCTATCTAAGTACAAACTAACTATATAATATTTATTCCATTAATATAAATGTTTTTGTCTTATTTATGTATCACTATTTGTTTTTCTCTTGTCCCGCACATCACTCCCGCCGTGCGACCGCGTCGCATCAGCTTCCGGTGCGGGCTCGACGTCCGTAGATAGAGGCAGGATCACAAGCTTCCTTACTGGCCGGCGTAGGACACCTCCCTTAGTTAGCACGTCCACAGTCCGCACGACGTTGTCGGGACCCGGATATGTAGCGATGACTCTTCCTCGTATCCACACGTTGCGAGGCAGGTTGGGATCGACGATCTGTACGAGGTCGTCGACGCGTGCTGCTTGGCCTTGTCCGTGGGGCTCCCGCCGGTGTTGAAGCTCAGGGAGGTACTTCTTCACCCAGCGTAACCAGAAGGTGTCGGCTAGCCTCTGCGCGGCTCGCCAACTTGACCGTGAGAGGGCGTCTCGTTCGGTGAAAGTGCCTAGCTGTGGTACTCGTCCCGGTCCTCCCAACAAGAAGTGGTTAGGAGTGAGAGCTTCGGGATCCTCTGGACTGACTGAGACGTGAGTCAGCGGTCGGCTGTTGACGGTGTATTCCACTTCTACCAGTAGTGTCGTGAGGACTTCCTCCGTCGGATGACGTTCGTGCAACGTCGCGATAAGAGCGGTCTTGACGGAGCGAACCATTCGCTCCCAGGCTCCGCCCATAAATGGAGCTCCAGGCGGGATGTAGCGCCAGGAGATAGTCCTTTTTGCTGCTTCTTCTGCGGTCGCTGCGTCGACCGCCTGTCGTAGTTCCTTATCGGCTGCCTTCAGGTTGGTGCCGTTGTCTGACCATATTTCTGTCGGGCAGCCTCGCCGTGCGATCATCCGCCTTATGGCCATTACCGCGGAGTCAGCGCTAAGTGAGCCGGCAACTTCTAGATGTATGGCTCGCGTAGTGAGACATGTAAAAATGGCCACATATCTCTTTTGTCGAGTTCGTCCGACGGTCACCGAAAGAGGTCCGAAATAGTCCACCCCGGTGTAGGTGAAGGGGCGCTTGTGGTGAGCTAAGCGACACGTTGGCAGGTCCCCGGTTCTCGGATGCGGCGGTACTTGCGTCTTCATTCTGCAGAATAGGCATTTTCGTAGTATTGTGCGTACGATAGGGCGCAGTCTCAGTACCCAATACTGCTGCCGGCACTCGTTAACTGTGGCTTCTACACCGGCGTGATGGAGTTGCCGATGTATAGCCTGCACCCAGAGCTTGACTGTGTGATGATCACCGTCAATTATCAACGGGTTCTTGAATTTTTCCTCCATGTCGCAGACTGCTCGAATACGACTTCTAAGTCGTAGTGTGCCGTTTATTGACTCGACGCTGAGCTGGCGAAGGCGGCTCTCCTTATTGATCGGCTTCCCGCTGTTTAGGCTGTCTATTTCTTCCGCAAAGGATTCTTCTTGGGAGGATCGCATCAGAAGCTCTTCAGCTGTCTTAAGCAGCTCGGCTGAGACCATTAGCGGCTTTATGTCTTCTGGCGACCGCTTCTTTGTCGTCATGTGCGCCTGATATTTCACTGTAGCTTTGTTCTTTTTCCAAGTGGGATCAGCCTCTTTATTCTTCTTTGTTCGTTTGTAGTTGACTCTCTGTTTGGTGTTTCTGCAGAGTTGAATGAACTGTAGAACACGTGCGGTTGAGTATCGGAGTCGGTCCCAGTTGGAGAACTTCGCTGGATCAGGTAGACCTTCGGCAAGCCTCAATCTTCTTTTGTTGCTCACGTAATGTGTCCTTTCTTCGTCGGAAGGTTCTTCCGCTGTTGCTCTTGTGGTTTCTGTCGGCCAGAAGTCTTCTGTTAGGTATAAGAAGTCAGGCCCTTTGAACCATCGATGTTCTTTATTAAATGCTGCTGGTACGTCTCGTGTGGCGTCGTCCGCCACGTTCAGCTTTGTCGGAACCCAGCGCCAGTCGTTAACTTTGGAACTCTCTTCTATTGCTGCTAGACGGTGAGCCACGTAGGGCTTATATGAACGTGACCCTGTCCTTATCCAGGTTAGTACTGTCTTGCTGTCTGTCCAGAATACTTTGCGGTCAGGTTTCCTCTCGTGTTCTTCGACTACTGTTTCTGCGAGCCTGGTGCCCATGACTGCTGCCTGTAGCTCCAATCTTGGGATGGACGTCAGTTTTAACGGTGCCACCTTTGCTTTCGCCACAATAAGGGATAGGTGGACCTCGCCTACTGCTGTTACAGCTCTCCAAAAGAGGACCGCAGAATAAGCTGACTCGCTGGCATCGCTGAAGACGTGGAGTTCTAGGGAGGCCGCGTCACTGTAGTGAAGATATTGTCGCGGGATTGCTATTTCGTGGAGGCCTTCCAGATGCTCCATCCACATTTTCCACTGCTCTGCCAGGTCTTCGTCGATCTTGACGTCCCATGCTGTTCCTCTACGCCAGACTTCCTGGAGGAGTTGTTTTGCCCTGATGGTGATAGGCGAGGCGAATCCGAGCGGGTCGAAGAGCGACATCACTATTCTCAGTGCTTCCCTTTTCGTCGGCTGCTTCCCTTCTAGGAGTGTTGAGGGTATTCTGGCTAAGTTGAGGTTGAAGGTGAGTTCGTCCGAGTGGATCTTCCAAACAACACCCAGAACTCGTTCCATCTTTTCTTCTGTTTTGTAGAGTTCCATGTCTTCTGTCTGGCTGTCTTCTCCAAGTGTTTCTAGGAGTGATGCTGAGTTTGATTTCCACTGTTTCAACTCGAAGCTGGCTTTCATGTGCACGGCTCGTACACTCTTCGTGATGCGTTTGGCATCTTCGAGGGTTCTGAAGCTGTCCAAGTAGTCGTCGACGTAATGCTTCATTATGATGGCCGCTGCGGCTTCTGGGTGAGTTTCCCCGTGCTGTTTGGCGTTTAGGTTCTTGACGTATATTGCTGTCGAAGGCGAACTCGATGCTCCGAAAATTAATGATGTCATTCTGTACTCTTCCGGAGGTTGGTTGTCTCGTCGAATCCCACGCCATAGGTACCGCAGTGCGTCCCTGTCTTGTTCTCGCAACTTGACTTGCATGAACATCTCTTTGATGTCCGCCGTAACCGCGATCATGTGTTGTCGGAAGCGCATGACGACACCTGGTAGCGATTGTAGTAGGTCGGGCCCTTTGAGTAGCATGTCATTAAGTGCCACCCCTTTGGTCTTGGCTGCGGCATCGTGTACCACCCGTAATTTCTCCGGTTTCATTGGGTTGACTACTGCAAAGTGAGGTAGGTACCAAGTTTTGTCAGCTGTCTTCTGTTTTGGGGCGGGTTCGGCGTACCCCTTTGCGACGAGAGCGTTCATTTGTTCCACGTATTTCTTCTTTAACGTGGGGTCACGATCGATCTTCTTTTCTATGTTGAAGAGCCTCTTCAGCGAGTTTTCGTAATTGTCTGGTAACTTGACATCGTCTTTGCGCCAGAGAAGACCGGTCTGGAATCTTCCTTCTTCTGTCTTCGTTGTGGTCCTTTCCAAGATACGAAGTGCTTGTTCTTCTGGATCAGTCTTCGGTCTCTTGGGCTTTATACAAAGTGCGTCCATCTCGAAGTATCGCTTCACGAGGTCTTCTAGATTCTCCTCTGGATCTTCTACGATGTGTGACACGAAATCGATGTTCCGTCCGAAGCTTCGTGTCTGGCTGCCGTGGAGTACCCAACCTAGTGGCGTGAGAGATGCCACTGGGTGGTTCTTGTCTCCTTTTCTTACTTCCGATGTCAGCAGAAGATGCCAGTTATCTTGTCCGATCAGCACTCGTGGCTTGGCGTTTGCATATGTGAGATGTCCTTGGATATCAGAGAGGTGTTGACACTCCTCCACTAGATCCTGTGGGACCCGTTGAGATGAGACTTGCAGGTTCTTCACTGTGCGTGCTTGTATTTGTTCTTCATGATCGTTGAGCCCCTTTAGTTTGATGGTGACTCTCCTCGATGCTGACTCCGATACTTTCTTGTCGTTGATGGTTTCTATCTTCAGTGGGTCTATGGGGCCCGTTGCTCCGACGCTTGTTACTATACTATCGTCGAC